TGATTCTCTTGCCTCAGCCTCCCAAGTAGCTGGGACTACAGGTGCCACAATGCCAGGCTATTTTTTTGTTGCAGTTTGGCCAGGGCCAGGTTTGAACCTGCCACCCTCAGTATATGGGGCTGGCGCCCTACTCACTGAGCCACAGTCGCCTCCCGAAAGGGGAGGTTGTTGAAAGCAAGTTTGGCTGACTTCAAACTTACTTTCTATTCCTTCTATTTCTCAAATGGCTATTATAATGTGTCGGGCTACACTGGGTATGTTACAGGAGTTGTCTCACTCAGTCCTCATGCAGAGTCAGGGCCAAGTTGCTCAAGGTCACACAAGTAGGAAAATGATGTGCTACAGCCTTTAAATGTTGTTTCTAGGATTTTCCTTGGCTTTCTTGTAAACCATATAAATATCTCTCTCTTTAAGTCCAATCATTAAGTGATAACCAACTCCTAAATTAACCAGATTTTCTTAAAAACTGAGCCCCTGTAGCTCAGCTGCTAAGGGTGTCAGTCCCGTACACTGGAGCAGGCAGGTTTGAATCCAGCCCAGGCCTGCCAAACAACAAGGGCAACAAAAAATAGCTGGTGTTGTGGTGGGTGTCTATAGTCCCAGCAGAGGCAAGAGAATCACTTAAGCCCATGAGCTGGAAGTTGCTGTGAGCACAGCAAGTTGCTGTGGCATCACAGCACTCTACACAGGGTATGACATAGCGAGACTCTGTTTCAAAAAAAAAAAAAAATCCCGAGAATTACATAACTCCCATCTTTATTTTTCTTTCTGTGAATGCTGAACCAAATACAGAGGTCCTTAACCTTCGAACACCTTTGGAGCTTTTTGGCATCTGGTGAAGTTTATGGGCTCTTCTCAAAATAATGCTATCAAATTTATTCAACAAATGCATAGGAATAAAAAAGAAATCAATTACATTAAAATACAATTATTAAATTATTGTAAGTTTGTGATATGATTATATGTATAAATATTTATATTTCAATTCTTCTTATTAAATCTTTATCTCATGTCTTAAACATGTAGTTATTTCCATCATAATTTTAAATATGTAGTTATTTCCATCATAATTTTAATGTAGCAATGAATGTCAATGATACCTAGAGATCTCTCCCCAAGTATAAAGAAATATAAAATATCTATCATTTCTCTTGGCAGCAGTCTCAGGGACAGCTAATAACAGTGTAGTTTGTTGCTTGCTCTATAAAGGCAGAATGTACAAATGTTTAGGTACAGTTGATGAGAATAACAATTTTTCTCTCCATCCAAGTTCATAGCTCCTTGAACTGCTTAAGAACACCTGCCCCAGGGGGAGGCCTAAACAAGCACACAGGAGTGAGCATTGGTAGGTTGGAAGAAGCCCACTATATTTAAATGGAGTCAAATCAATAGCTTTTCACTGGGCACTTTTCTTGCCAACATGCCTCCGTAGGCATTGTGGTATGCTGACTCTCTCTTTCTATGCCTTCTTGGTGGTCCCAATTATGATCTGGAGGGCAAAGATTCATCTCCGAAATCCAGGGAGAGATTCTCCTTATAACCTGGAGTTCCAGGACTCTTTCACACAATTACTTAATACTTATCTTGTCCTAGACTCTGAGGTTACAAAAGTGAATGCCACAATTCCAGCTTGTGTCCCTGAATGACTTTTCTTAAGAGGAGACAACATTTTGGTAGCTGAGAAACACAAAGAAGCAGCCTGTAAAAGTAGCATTGCAGATGTACTTACCAAGTTAATTGCTTTACTCTCTTATGTGTTACTTTCTGTTCTTGTATGAATTATTTTGCTTCTGCTTTCATTAATTTTATTGGCCATTTCATACCTTCTTGAGTTGAATATACACTTATTTTTACTTTTTCTTGTATCTTAAGTGATTGAAGGAGTGAGTTTTCCTTTGAGCAGCATTTACTTTTGATTGGACATGTAGAATTTCTTTACAGCTGAAATATCCCTTTTTATTTCATTACACAGGTAAATGTTTCTGATAGTCCACAATTTCAATATTTTCTTTATGCATTTAAGAGTCCATGCATTTGTTGTACTTATTTCCTCCTGTCTTCTGTGATATTTTTTCTTATGGGGTAGACTTGTCTATTTTTCTAAAAAATTCTATTCCTTCTGTTTCTCAAATGGCTACTATAATTTTCTCTATTGGTTCTGTCCTCTCAACTTCTCATCCATTCCAAATATTCAGTTACTGAGTTTACATGACAGAAGGAATGTGTTAAGGCAGCTAGTATGGTCAGTTCTTCATCCCTTTTACCAGAGAGATTTTCTCAAGGTATGAAGGTAGAATGTTCTTAGCAGAATATCCCTACTCAGGATGACTTATGTTAAATAAAACTAGAATCTGAAGACTTGTGAATCATGACCTCTTTTAAAAAAAGTCACAGAATCCCTGTAATGATCTGTATTAAATAATCTAATGTTTTGTAACATAAATGTTTCTCATATAGTAAGGTGACCTTACAACTGCATTTAGAGACCTCATCTTTTATTTAGGGCAAAGAGGGGAGGACCTGGGGAGCCACTGAATTATCCCAGATAATCCCTGGTTGATCCAACTTCTTGATTTCTTGACACTTGAGATTATTAATAGAGTTTCATGCTGAGTAAGAGCTCTAATTTCATGAGTCTAATCTGATCTTTGTAATAGCTCAAAGTGAAGGGTGGACAAATCCTCTACATTTTTCTTAAATTCCTCATCAATATTTATAACTGCTTGTTGGCTATACCTGAATATTTTATTAGTACCTAAAAACTAACATAGACTTCTCATTTGCCACCTAAATCATTTTCCTGCCCCTGGATTGCCAATCACTCACCCTTAAAAGATTGCTAGCATCCCTTCCTATTCATCCATCTTTATCTTCAGTAATAGTTAAAAACTCTCACCCTACCCATCTCTTCCTCTGTATTTTCCCTCTCTCCTAATTTGTCTCTCTGGTTCCATTCCTTCTGGCCACTAATCCTTCCAACATATTACTGTTTGTATAGTATTTTTCTACACAAACACACACAATGAACTAGGGAAATATGGGGAAGAAGATGTGTAACTAAACCTAATAAAATAAGCAACAGTGAGTTAGATAGAAAGAAAAATAGCGATATTGTTTTAGTGTGTTTACTTTTGCTATGAAGGAATACCCAGGGCTGGGTAATTTATAAAGAAAAAGGGTTTATTTAGCTCAGGATTCTGTTGGCTGGAAGACTGAGCATCTGTTGAAAGCCTCAGGCTGCTTCCACTCATGGTGTAAAGCAGCAGAGAGCTGACGTGTGCAGAGATCTCATAGTGAGAGAAGAAGCAAGAGAGAGGAGAGATGCCAGGCTCCTTTTAGCAACCAAATCTTGTGGAACTAACAAAGTAAGAAATCACTCGTTACTGCAAAGACAACACCAAGCCATTTATGAGAGATCTATCCCCATGACCCAAACACCTTCCATTAGGCCTCACCTTCAACACTGCAGATCAAACTTCAATATGAGATATAGGGGAACATGTATTCAAACTTCAGCAGATATCAATGTGATAAATATTAACAGAAGCTGTTTTAACACTAAGAAAGGAACACAATCTCATCCACATTATGAAAAATGGTTTCAGCTCAACCCTTTCAAAATTGTACCATGCAGCTTTGCACAGAGCCGTATCATAGCCAATGAGGTTTATCTGAGGTGTGATTGTTGCTAATTAAAAATTGTACCATGAAGCAAGAGAATAGATAAAATTCTGAAAAATCATACAAATATCCCCCACTGTGAAGGAAGCAAAGATTGGGTGTGGGAGGTAGATATATTATTAGAGGGATGAACTAAAGATTCCCTTATAGATTAAAATTTCTTTCCACCATCATGGATAATGTCATAACAGAAATGGGGGCAATTGTTAGATTTACTATTTTGTTTTTCACTGGCTAGGAAGAAGGCAAGAGAGACCTGGAAAAATGACTGTCCAGAGTTAATATTTCTGAAAACAATTCTCATAATGAGAATTCAATCTAAGTATGCAAAATTTCTGGGGGTTTGCCATTTTACCTTAAACTAAAAGGCAAGGAGTAGCAGAGACAGGTGAAATGGAGCTGTCAGCTTCCACACACCAACTTTCAGAAAGAACTCCCGAGACTGTGACAAGTAAAGAAGCTACCTGTGACTCTGTTGACTGAGAAGTCTGAAATGGTAAAACCAGAAAGTTAAAATTAATATATAGTTGTTGCAGAAACCCACAGTTAGAACAGTTCTCAGTAGGAAGCATTAAAATGTATTGTCATAGCTCTCTGACCTTTTTATTTAGAAAGTGGACAACCAAAGCTTTTCATTAATTTTAAGGAAGAACAGTTCGAGCATAAATAAGTAGTAAACAACCTAATAAGAACATTTTGTGTTTTAACTGTACTGTAAAATATGGGAGAAAAAGGTCATTTTTGTCTGGCTATAAACAGAAACTATATTATAGAGTCCTGGAATTAGAGCAGGCATTTGAATTTTAGTGTCATTATTTCTGGAATTCACCAAGAAAAAAATGAGCAAAGACTCCCAAAATAGCAATTTGAGAAACTATACTTCATTCCAGGTATACCTTCAGACATTTAAAAGAACTCTTTGCTCGGAAAAGGTTAGGTCTTCAGATAAAATATTCTCAGGAGCCAGTCAGCATATCCATGCTGAGCTATCACCATGGGCAGGTACTGATAGGACCAAATGTAGGGCCCTGCCCAAATATAACCATCCCGCCCAGGAAAGAACCTCCTGCCCAAGGAGGAATGAATGCGTGAACGTCCCACCCAGGAAGGAATGAATGCACCAATCCCTACCCCTTCCAACTCTTATATTCCCACCCACCTTAACCCACATGTTGACTTCTATTTTGAACTCAGCCTATCCAAGTGAATGAAGGCCATGTTGCTCACACAGAACTTGGACTCAGATTCCTTTCATTCACATGTGGGAATAATCTCTCATTTTTGGTCCTTAATCTCTCATTTTGATGCCAAGAACCTGGGAGGGGAGAAGCCCCCCATAGGGGGCCAAGATATACCCCATCAAATCCACTCCAGACTAGATGGATTCTTGTTCTGACCAGACAAAGGGAAATTCCCCCTCCCAGAATTCATCCATTTAATAGTGAGGTGAGCATTTGTCTAGAATTCCTTTCTGAGCCTTTTTTAACTTTTTTTCCCTTTCCCCACTCCAATTTCTTTCTCCCTCTTCCTCTATTTCTAGTCCTCTTCAGCATTTGTATATAACCCCTCTCAGCCATTTTAACTTTGCTTCCCTTTCTCCACTCTGGGCCAAAAAACTCCAGTAAGTCTGTGCCTCTTAAATCCAGAGCCAGTCACAGACTAACCCCTGCAGATCAGACTCACCCGTCCAGTGCCTTGTGCAAGGGGATGCTTTCCTGTGAGCCTGGATCACTTTTTGCCAGCTGGTTAAAAGTCCTTCAGGGAGGCCTGGTAACTTCCCCAACCCCAGCCTTGGCCATTTTCTTCCTCTTTCCCTTCATAAGTTCTTTTCTCATCCTTGCTTTAACCTCATTTATTTTCTACTTCTAGTTTCTGATATGGAGCCTACTCAGTACCCATTCCCTCTTCTTTACTATTAAGCTGCCTCTCAGCTCACCTCAAGCCTCTACACCTTTATCCTGACCTCAAACCTAAATGCCTCATCTTTCTCTGCAATACTGCTTAGCCTATTTACAAACTAGATGGCTCACAATGGCCTAAAATTGGCACCTTCAACCTTTCAGTCCTCACTGACAATTACTGTCAGAGATTGGGCAAATGGTCAGAAATTCCCTACATCCAGGCCTTCCTCCTCCTCCAAAACATTCCTTCTTTGTGTTCATCTTGTGATCCTTCTCAAATTTTCCTTGCACAGGCCAAGCCAGCCCTCCCCACCCCCCTGAATCCCCACTGTCTTCCTTTGATGCAGCAGACAACCCTCCCCCTTCTGCCCCTCCATAGCTACCCCAAACCTCCTCTCTACCCACAGAATTCCACCCCATCTCCCCTCTTTCCACTGACTCCCATCTGCCTTCCACCCCATGTGGTCAAGACAGAAAAGATGACATCCCTGGTGGTGGGAAAGGAAAGATAAAAGACCCGGGGGGGAAAGGAAACACAGCGGACCCAATTTCCCCACCTCATACTAGATCTAGCCACACCTTTGGACTTCCCACTTCTGCACCACAACCTTTATACCCTCTCCGAGAGGTTGCAGGAACCGAAGATATCATTAGGGTTCATGTCCTCTTTTCTTT